TAGAAAGATGATAAACTTTACACCAGCGGCAAACTGGTTTCCGTAAGCTGCGTAAAAGGCCAGAAACCATGGCTGATGACTGGACAGAACCCAGCAGGAAGCACGCTCTCCTGTGAACAAGGAGTGACTGCTTCTGAAGGAGGTACAGAACATGCTTTGCATCGTAGGACAGAACACGGGTTGAAGCTGGTCTAGACACCAGCTTCTTTTGCCCCCTCTTGAGGAGGAAAGCTGGCAGAAAGTTTATTTAAACCACTTCTTGAGCTTTAACCTTTCTGGCAATATACTGGAGAAACTTGGAAAAACTAGTCCAAGCTGATACATACTTTTTGATAATGTAAATACAACAGCCACATGTTAATCCACCCTGCACTGCTTTAAGTGAGTATACTTTGTAAAAACATTTGTTAGTTAAGTGAGGTGGCTTTTCCCCCCCTCTAAAACAGGAATGTAAATGTCTATTTCACTAGAAATGACAAGTTTTGTTTAGTTTTGTTTTTTTCCTTAATGAAAAAAACGAAATGTAAGACAAGCTGATGACAAAGTATTTGTCTTACAGATCAGGCATCTTTGTTTTTAAATCTGGTCCTCACCCCCTCCCCAGCCAAGTCCTAGTCTATCACAGGCTTGGAGTCAATATGCACTGGTTGGAAAGTGATACTCTAGTCTTAGGGGGAGGCTTTTAGACACCTAGTCCAATCTTTGTTTTGTTCTTCCAGAAAAAGACACTGAAGGGCAAAAAGATAAAGTGACTTGGCCAAAACACATGGTTAGTGACAGAAACAGGATTAAAACACCGTGCCATGGGCCTTAGAAGGAATCCGGAAATTAAGGACAGGCACCAAAATGACACAGAATGCCCTTCTCAAATCTTACCCTGCAGGAAGCCTAGGGAGGGCGTGAGGACAGCAGTGGGAAACATACTGGTCTCTTCCTCTGAGTTACTTAGGTCTCAGACTTGAACGGTATGCTTTTCTGTCAAGAAACAGTTTTGGATGAGCTTTGACATGGATCTTCTAGTAGGGCTGAGGCTTAAAGGGAGAAAGGTAGGGGAAGGCAGAGGGGGCAAGAGGAAAGCGATGGCATATTTTCCATCATTCGCTAGCTGATTGGCTCAGGTTGGGGAGAACCCAATACTGAGTGGAAGGGAGGGAATTACTATTTGATGTGTCTTTTTTTTTTTTTTTTAAATTAGTGAATGTCAAACAGTTTGCCCAGGAGACTGGGGGAGCATGTGTCTTCATGGACAGGGGTCTGAAGTACACTGGAATTTACTGAGAAACTTGTTTGTAAAGACTATACTTAATTATTGCCATTTTCTTACAAAACTATATTTTGGAAAATTGTATACTGTCAATTAAAGTGCTTTTGTATAAGCTGGTTCAAGCCCTGTTGGTTGGACTTGACTGATTGGCTTGTGTTCTTACCCTGTGCGTGAGGCTCCTGTCTCAAGCGCCGCGGACATGAGGCGTTCCGGGGAGTGCAGCGCCCTCAGCTCGTCTGCTATATGGCCGAACTGTGGGGGTGCAGAGAGCAAAAGAGAAAGCGGGAAGCTCAAAGAAAGGAAGGGGATCCTGGAGGTGATGACAGTTCCCCAGATTATCTTGGGTTGTTGGAGTGATCATAACGGAATTTTCCCTCACGCTTTTATCAGTGGTCTACCTTCTTCCTTTCTTCCACTTCCGCCTCAGATACAATTACGAATCACCCACCACTAAACATCCTTGAGCCCTGGTCAGGTGTGAAACACTGGTGTGGAGACAAATTAAAAATATAAAGTTCCCCCCTGGTCCTGTTACTGCTCACAAAAGGGTTTACTTATCCCAAGAAGCCTCCCCCTTGTTCCTTGTCTACAGAGATGTTAGTGAAGATGAAGAATGTTCAGGAAAGGAAGCACTCAAAACCCATCCTGATTCTCTTCCTCTCCTGGGGTGGTACCATCTCCCTATACATTCCTCACTGGAAGGGGAAAACTGTCTCTCCCAACTTCAGAAGAGAGATGGTCAGATGACTGGGTCCATGTTCACACTGCTACACAACAATCTCTTCTCTTTGCCTGGCATCTTACAGTTTACAAAACATTTTTACGTTTCTTGTTTAGGAATGGGCGCTTCTCTACCAATAGGTAGAATTTAGGTACAGAGATGAAGGATTCTGAGATGACACAGCTATTTAAGGGGTTAGTGTGAGGCCTTGAAGCTGTATTGTTTCTCTTCAGTCTTACATTCTTTTCCCATTCACATCAATGCCGGGGTTCCAGCAACAAGTACATTTCTAGAATGCATTGTTAACAATATGATTTTGCTTCTATAGGGGAGTTCTGAAAGCCGGTTAACACTCTTAACTGTGGGCCCGAGTTGGGCCAGGGGTATTTTGAGGTTAACTTCAAGAGTGGGCCAAGAATACAGAAAAGAATACAAATACCAGGAACTCGGGCAGGCCCCTTGGCCATGCTTGAGGCACACTGTTCTAAGAACAGAATGACTCACAGTTTATCGTTGGCCACAAATTAGACCTGAGGCCTGAGGCTCTGTGGCTTCATTCTCTTCCTGAAGAGGTCATTCACCCTGCTCCCTGCCCTGCCAACCAAGGAGCAGTCACTCAGTAGTCCTAATGCACCAGGCCTCTGTCACTGGCCCGTCCCCTGTCCCCCATCCCCCAAGCTTATTTCTTCTGTACCCTAAGGGAAAAAAGTAAAAATAGGACTAGTACTATAATTAGCACGTGATAAATACTGAGATAGTATTTTTCAGACCTTGGCGTTTTACAGATTAAAAAAAAATCTGGGATTCTAGCTAACAGGATCTGCCACCAACATTTACTTAGAAGATGGCTTGAGACTTCTAGAAGAAGGCTTGAGACTGCCCAGTGCTACACAGAAGTTCCTGCTGGATCTGGACATAAACCTAGGATTCCGGACTCTGCCCTGGGCCACCCATCCTGGGGCCCGAGCTCAGAGGGCAGCTGTATGAGGTGTGCTATACGTCTTGCCGACTGCCCTCATCTCCCTGCTTGGGATTTGCCAACTATCAAAACCTACTGGCACAGCAGTGCATGGGCTGCCTCAACCTGTAGCCTCCCTCTCTTCCCTGTAGTAACCTTTCTGGAAAGGATGTAACTGCCTTTGCTTTGCCGTGGGGAGGAAAGTCCTTTGCGAACATCAGAAGTTTCAGAGTAAGAATGATAGGAGTTTCAGGCATCGTGTGCTACTGTCCCGCATTCCCTATTAAACAGAAAGCCAGACTTCAACTCTTATTTTTCTTCCGAGACATTAAAAGGCAAAAGACGTTGCATATGTGGTGCTAAAGAGAAAACCTAACCAGCTGGTACTTAAGCCCAAGCCGGGACTGACGTGGGCTTCAGGAGGGCCCGCAGTTTGTGTTCCCACTCATACCTTCAGAATCTGGAGGACTGGTGGTGCCTCATGTTGCCCTCATTAATGAGGAAAATATTTTCTCAATTTCCACGGTTGACTCACACTCGGGAACGTGAGCACACGTGGCCATTTCCCTGCTGGCGCTGGAGAGTCCCTGGGTGAGCAGAGGCTCTCGAGGGGGCACATCCAGCTCCTGTGGGTCCCCACACTTGCTGTGTGAGCAGCCACCATCTCAACTGTTCACCATAAAGTCCTCTTGGCTTATTTGCTGTCTTCCCACCAGAGGACAAAATCTGTCAAGGGAGAGGGGGTAGTGTCCCACATTTTGATCCTTTTGAGTTAATTCTCTGGAGGATTAACCAAGGAAAGGCCAATTTTTTTTAAGTATTTTTAAGTTGTTTTTTTTTTTAAGTTTATTTTGAGAGAGAGTGAGCGGGGGAGGAGCAGAGAGAGAGAATCCCAAGCAGGCTCTGCACTGTCAGCATGGAACCCAGTGTGGGGCTGAAACCAACTCACAAAACCTGAGACCATGACCTGAGCCCAAAGCAAGACTCAGACGCTTAACTGAATGAACCACCCAGGCACCCCTGGAAAGGTCAATGTCTTACCTTAACACCACACATCATGTTTTTCTGTTTTAAAAACAAAAATGTTACTTATGAGTCATGTTCAAATCAAAGCACACTCTAGAAATGAAAGCTACGTAGCAAGACACATTATTTGGTTTATGGATTGAGAAAACATAACCCCCATTTTGAACAAAGCTGACAAGTAACACGCACTGCAGAATGCAGGGTCGGACACCTGAGAATGTAAATGAGACCAGGAGAAGAAAAGGGTCAAAAGGAGGTCCTGTTGAATCCTTCTGGAGAACTCATTATTTTTTTTAATTTTTAAAAAATGTTTATTTTTGACAGACAGAGCATGAGTGGGGGAGGGGCAGAGAGAGAGAGAGAGGGAGACACAGAACTGGAAGCAGGCTCTAGGCTCTGCGCTGTCAGCACAGAGTCCGACATGGGGCTTGAACTCACACACCGTGAGATCATGACCCGAGCTGCAGTCCGATGCTCAACCGACTGAGCCACCCAGGCGCCCCTAGAACTCATTATCTTTGTTTGGCCTATCTGGGTTTATTTTTTCAAAGGTTCAGTCCTTAAAGTTCTTTCCCCTTTATCAGGGACAGGGATCTAGAATTTTTCAAAATTTTGCAACAGCTCCAACTCTCTCTTCCCTGTCTTTTCTACAATCAATTTTCTTCTAGTTCTTAAACGATACAGGTATGTCTCCCTTAAAGGAAACCTAGGAAACACAAGTCCAATTTACAAAACAGATCAAACAGGGCTGGTCAGCAATGGGACATAAAAGACACCATCTTATGAAATAACTTACCAGTATTCTTTCAAAATGGAAACTTCTCCAGGAAACTTTGTGAGATCCATCAGAACTTCTTTACTTCAGCACTGTCTCAAAGGAAAACACCAAAAGGCCCTTCTATGGTGTGTATCATTTTTATCTTTGGAAGCCTGAACAAAACTCAGCTTTTTGAGGGAAAAATACAACATATGAAAAGTATGTTAAAAAGTTGACTTCAAAGGTAGTTTCAACAAACACAAGAACCATTTTGTAGTGTCCATATATAACTTTTTATTAAGAAAATGAACAAAATACATTCTTTCTCCATATGTACATTACATACAACAGAATTCTACAATTGCAACTGTTCAGCAGATCACTCGTTTATTCACAAAGCAGTGTTAACACATTCACCAAACCTGGGATCAGAAAACTACTTGTACTAAAAAAAAGAAGAGAAAAAACCCCTAAGAGTCCATACAGACTGGGCAAAAAATAAGATAAACCGAAGAGGATCATGAGGGGACTGGGGAAGATTGCAGAACCCAGGTTCTAACACAACCTGGAACGCCAAGGATGAGAGAAGAGAGCTCCAACCAGCTCACGCTGTTGCTCCACAGCCCCCTCATGATTTGTTTCAGATTTAGGTCCTTTAGGATATAGCCCTAAGCCATGTTGCCACAGAAGAGGAAGAGTAAAGGAAAGAGTAGAACCTTGAAAGGGCTGCAGCTTTCTGCTTTACACACTAAGAAGAAAAGTCTCCTATGAAACACAAAACTTCTGAATCCTACCTGGGAAGCAGAGAACTACACTTTTAGGGGGAGACATTTGTCCAAGTGTGGTAAGGGAACTCTGGTTTCCAGGACTCCTAATTCACATTTAGGTTCATTTCATCTGTTTTGCTTTTGCTTTGTTTTTTCTCCGCTTTTCCTTTGGCCTTTGAAAGTACTTCATTCTTTTTGAGTGTGGGTTTTCTTATGGTCATATTAAAAAGTCCACCTAGGGGAGCCTGGGTGGCGCAGTCGGTTAAGCGTTCGACTTCAGCCAGGTCACGATCTCGCGGTTCGTGAGTTCGAGCCCCGCGTCAGGCTCTGGGCTGATGGCTCGGAGCCTGGAGCCTGTTTCCGATTCTGTGTCTCCCTCTCTCTCTGCCCCTCCCTCGTTCATGCTCTCTCTCTGTCCCAAAAATAAATAAAAGATGTTGAAAAAAAAAATTAAAAAAAAAAAAAAAGTCCACCTAAACAAAGTTCTTTGTGGGTATGAATATGCTTCAAACGTCCATAATGGTGCATAAGGGGCTTAAAAGATCAAAATGAATTTTTGAGATGAAGTTTCCACTAAACTGAACAAGGCAGCTCCCTATAGGCTTCTGGGTACTACTCGACATCCTTAGTTCAGGCTTAAAAGATACACATCAAGAGAATTATTTTCAGACTGTCCGCCTGGAAAAGGGCACGGCTTGAGGGAATCTCAGTAAGGTCGGGACACAGGCTCACACCTCAGTCCTCCACACATATGGTAAAACATAATGAGAATGGCTGTATCCTTTTTTTTTTTTTTCTGGGCTTTCCCATGTGGGGTAACAGAAGAAAGTCAGGAAAAACAAAATGAATTAAGTCTCATCAGTTAGTTAATAGTGGTTTTCCTTCTTTACATTTAGTAATTTCCTAAATTTCAATGATAAACATATTTTTTATATCACAAAAATCAGTAAGTTTTTAAAAGTTCCATAAAAGAAATTTAATACTCTCCAACTTTACGGTGAGCTGGTTGCTGTAACATCATGTTTCCAGTCTAGGAGATGTTCTAACAAAGAGAAGGGGCTGCCCACAGCATTAATAAGCAACCTGGGAAGACAAAATCTATTGTGCATATCCGGATGGAGCTGTATCTTCCTTCCCAATCTAATTGCCAGTCCAACTTTAGTTTTGAGGATCTTTCTCTAATCTGAAGGGATCTTAATTTTTGGCCACTGAATACTAATTTTTTTTTAATGTTTATTTTTGAGAGAGAGCGAAAGCGCGCGAGCAGGGGAGGGATAGAGAGAGGGACACACAGAATCTGAAGCAGGCTCCAGGCTCTGAGCTGTTGGCACAGAGCCTGACATGGGGCTCGAACTCATGAGCCGTGAGATTATGACCCGAGCCAAAGTCGGACGCTCAATCGACTGAGCCGCCCAGGTGCCCCCAATGAATACTAATTTATAAAGGAAGTAAAAGAGTGGACTTAAAAAAATTGTAGCTTCTTTCTCAATCTGCTTATAACATAAATAAGCCATTTTGGAAAGATGGGATAATGTTTGTTACCAAGACAAGAAAAGGAGGTCCTTGTCTTAGCTATCCTATACTCCTTCTGAGGTTGCAGGTTCAACTTTACATGGAGTCTGAAGTGGTGACAGTGAAGGAATCTCTTTTAAAAAGAAAGAAAAAATATCTCTCTCTATATGTCCATAAAGGAAATTTGCTCATAGGAAAATGCCACATTATTTTGCAATTTTGCAATTGAGCTGAAGACTATACATAAAGGAAAATGAATACTATACTAATTTATTCATTCAAAAGATATTTTGCACAAGTCAAAAAACCAAGGTGGCTTAAAGAATAACACAATCATAGCATCTCTTGGCCAGGCTGTATATAATACTTAAGAAAGGAAGTCCACTTTTATTTCTCTAACTGGGTGGTTTACAACTGAGGGAGAAAATAGTTTACAACTGGTCAGTCACCACAACCATTTTTTCTGGGAAAGGAAAAAAAAAATCTCAAAAAGGAGACCAAGTGCATAACTTTTTGAAACACACATCTTCCCCACAGAAGACTACTCATATTTAAATTTTGGACGTTGGTACCCTACCGTCAGATTTGGGGTTGCAAAGACAACTACTTTCGTATGTCTCACAGTCTATATTCAGTGTTCTTGCAAGTATAGCCCATGTGTCTAGGTAAAATTAAGCTAGGCCTTTACAGAGGTGGAGTATCTGAGGACTTCTAAAGTAGGCAACTGAAAAAAGGTAAAGCCATGCGTCCCTGTCCTCCACTCCCCCCCCCTTCATCTCAAGAAGGTAAATACGGCAACTACAAGGCAACATGCTAAAAAGGTCACTAGCAGAAATGTGAAGGCACAGCCCTGTTGGTATAAGATCCTCCTCTTTGTTGCAAAAGGAATTTATAAAGTTCTGCCAGCTGCAATGGAATCACACTTATTCCAGGTACCTTCTCTAATTACTCACTTTCCAGATGTGAAGGAGACCTAAAGAACAAACCAAAATTATTAAATACTTCCAATGCCAAGCCCAGAACTCGTGTATTTCCTGGCAAAGTGGATAAACAGAAACCCATGGGACTGTGCATAATTAATTTTAAAGTATGGAAAGCAACTGATGTCAGTTCAATTCTGTACAGGTTGTAAGTTAAACATGAAATGGCTATTTTCTTCCCATTTTAAAAGGCCAGAAAATAAGCACCAACAAAATGACACTGGCTAAACTATAACAAAGGCTTTTCCTTGAGATTTTTTTTTTTTTTTAGTTTTTTTAAATCTTTATTTTTGAGAGAGGGAGAGACAGAGCATGAATAGGGGAGGGGCAGAGAGAGGGGGAGACACAGAATCTGAAGCAGGCTCCAGGCTCTGCTGAGCTGTCAGCACAGAGCCTGATGCAGGGCTCAAACTCATGGTCAGCGAGATCATGACCTGAGCCAAAGTCAGATGCTCAACTGACTGAGCCACCCAGGCGCCCCTTGAGATTTGTTAACAAAGGAGAGAAATAAAGCTCAAAAAACCAGCTACTTGAGCAACTCCTTAATCATGCACAGAGGCCTGTTCAGTATATCACACAGTGTTTTTCCTTCCTGCCAATTAATTTGGCATTAAGCATTCAATGAAACTGAAGAATGATGATCTCTTCAGGCTGGTATTTGTGTGGCAGACAGCTCAAATATCCAAACTAACTGCTGTGAATGTGAGCATCCCAGATGGCACAGAGCTGTGCTGCAGCAAGAGCTAAACGCGATGAAAAAGCAGGTCCTGTGGGAGCCCACCAAAAACTGCATGTTAAAATGTTTCATTGCCGGTTTTTCCGCTGGATCCTTATCAAGGAACTGGCTGAACCTAAGAAGCTGCTCACCTAGTTTAAACTCTAGAGCCCATTACACTGGCTTTTCTGTTTCAAGATCTCTAACAGTTATTTGGGAGAAATGGAGAAGAGAATCTAACCAGGAAATGCCGCTTTCCAAAAACTGTACAGAGTAAGTGAGCTTTGATGCCTTTTGACAGTCATCTTCCCAGCACTTCATTGGTAAAGTGAATTTAGGGTCAGAAATGAAGAGCTTTCTTTTTCATTTAGCTTTGTGGGCCTTGGAATCCAGGAGCAAAAAGCTCCTATTTTTCTTTCTCTAACATATCCTCATTCTCCCCTCTCCAGGGGTTCAAATGCCTCCAAGTGAAAAATGCCATATAGACAGGCAAAACAGAACCGCACGCCAATGTTTCATAGTTCACTGGCCTCTTTGAACAGCAGATAAAAAGGTAAATTATTTCATAATTATAAGTGATAATTTAAAAAAACGAGCAAATACCAATCACTGCATAGCAATCAAAGCTATTCCTAACACACGATTATATCAGAAACTGAAAGTCAATTCTTAATACAAATCCCAACTTCAGCAGAAACATCAATGCTACTCAGAGGTGGTAGGACTAGAGGAAAGAAGGCTAAAAAATATAAAGACAAAGGCAAATGGAAATCTGGTGATGTGCTGCATTACACAAGCCCTGCTATGAAACTTGTACCTGATCAACCGTTTTAGGATGACATGCTTCCTAGTGCCAGGAAAAGAAGCTACCACTGGCTCCTCCATTGAAGCTGCCATAGCCATGTTACTATCCTCCAAGTGAAAACTGACTCGAGGATTTTTATAGCAATGTCTGAACATTATTAATTCTTTAATAACGCATAATTTTTAATTTCACTATTCTGTTGTCATAAACAAGGATAAAAGAGCATGTTTGCCTCAGATTTTGACTTTTTTTCTTAAGCAGTACAACACTTTTAAGCAATGCCACAGAAAACCTAGGGCTAAAAAAGCTGAGAATAAAGTCAGTTTAGCTAAGGAAATAATGGATACACAATTCACACTATTTGTTAGGTAGGAGGGGATCAAGGTTAAAAAATTATGTAAAATAAAATCTCTAAGACAGCATTTTTTTTTTTTGAGGAAAAAGAGCATCTGGTGAAGAAATTAACAAACTGTAACTGAGTCCTCCTGCCAAAACAAACAACGGCAACATCATTGAGCTGATCTGGTTGGCTCCCAACGAACTGTTTCAACAAACTTGGAAACTTACACCTTCAATTGAAATACCTCTAGACCAGAAATTTTAGACAGCCAAGTCTAAAATTTCAGCATTGGTACAAATCACAGGGAGATATAGGCTACAGTCAAAAATCACAAAAGAATAATGTTATTTGACTAATAATACAAAAACCTTTGAGTGAAAGAGCCCAAAGATCTAATCTACAAGTATTGTCATATGCAGAGAAGATACTCTTCAATAACTATAAACTTTTACTGAGGAAGCATGCAATCCCAGATGAAGGACAATTTTAAGAATTTAAACTTTAGTAAAAATTCAGGCCAGAGTTTTATGAAAAAGGATGGAACTGCAGACGATCATGGATTTTTAAGAAAAGGAAGGTTCTGAAGGCTATATATTTTTTTCTTACAGCTAGATGACGTCGTTCAGAGTACACATTTGTAATGATCCCCTCCCACAGAAATCACTTCAAATCATAATTCTCAACTGCCGTTCAACCATCAACATTCAACCATTTAAGGAGTTAATATAACATTCACTCAGGAGATAAGTAAATGACCCACAATTTTACCCAATGAATTCCCTTTATTGTCAAGAATAATTATGACTTCTTCATGTTGTAATCATGAAATGGAGTACAATTCACAGACTAAAATCAGGAATATGATCCTAAATGCTTTTTGATCCCTTAAACATCATTCTCAATCTAGTTTTTGTTTGTAAGTTAGATTTTAAAACTTTTTTATTACGTGAAATTTTGTTAATGTATCTCCAAATAGTGGGCCAACGTGAAGAGATCCATTAAAAGGATAAACTAGGAACCATTTACATTCAACATATATATTTCACCCAAGAACAGTTTTATCGTCTTAAATCATTGTGCTCTAAACCAACAAGCCTTTCTGTGATAAACCAGTGACTTAACTTTCTAATGTTTTCTATCAGTTTTTACTTATTTAGACATGGACAGGTCTGTTTTAGAGTAAATGAAAACCATGTCTAAAAGGAGGATTTTGTGAAGAGTTAAGACCATCTGTCAGCTTGAGTAGTGAGTCAGGCACCCAAGTCTGCAATCCTTTGCTTGAGTAAGTGATGGATACATTTGAATTAATCAAACTGGCCACACGAGGTCTCTGTTATTCCACAGAATACAAATGCATTTTAGAATTATCTTTCAAATCAGGTAATTTCTCATGAAGTACAAGCACTGAAAATAATGTTAGAGATCTAGTTTACTATTCTGGAATAATATATTCCATTGGGAAAGAGAGAAATGGGAATGAAGTTGGAGCCAGGGATGACGACACTGAGCAAACTGTACCCTACTAACGAATGCATCTAGAGCATTAGCCCGATGTTTCAATCTGGGACTCACTAAGCTAGAAGGAAAGCCTTTCAAGTAGTAGAGCACAGATAATTTGGCCTATTTAAACACTGTGTCTAAATACCAAATTAGATTATTTAAATTATAATTTAAATTATACTGCTGGAATTCTTGGAAATATATGTAGCTTCTCACTATATATATATGTAATATATACTATAGTTTCCAATCAGGTTGTGGTGTGAGATGTGAGTAGTGTGTCAGTCCTGGTCATGGATCTCATAAAGCCCTACAGTCTCCTGCAATGATTACCAGCAGTGTTCCTTTAAAGCCCCATGGAACAAATTCTACCTAGTCAATAACCTCCTCAATACAGTCCACTCAAGTAACACTGAATGGTTCACTATGATTCAACCCTATCTAAACAGGTTGGTGTAAAAAAAAAAAAAAAAAAAAAAAAAAAAAAAAATCCAGAAACGAAGGGTAAAGGTTCCACCTAACTAAAGTGGAGAAAGATAAAATTCAAGCAAGCACATGTTAAAAAGCAACTAGTAGAGTAGTGAGTTAGAGAGAAACAAAATCACTGAGGTCAAGAACTGAGTTGCTTCCAAATATGGAGTCTAAGGAACTGGTGAAAAAAAACAACAAAGAAAGCACTGTAGAAATAAATGGTGGAGGGCAGCAGAATTTCATTTGGTTAGTGTGTTTAAAGTGCCAGAATTCACAGTAAGCAAAATTAGAGCTTTTAAATTTAGAAACTCTTATCGAGTTCTTCCCTATCAACTCTCTGATTTGTACCTGTTTCCACAAAACAAGATTCAACAGCTACAACATTAGTGATAATATTTTATGTTCTTGACTGTCACTCAGGGGAGTCACTTTATGGAAACTGTACAGGAATGTAAGTAGATTCTATTTGCTTACCTCTAAAGTCAATTAGTTATTCTGCAGCTGCACAATTTGGTACTTAGTAAATTACATACTATAGCTTTCACAAGGCAAGGTACATATCTAATTATTTAATCACTACAGATAGCTTTGGGATGCTTGGAAAGCTAAGGAATCCAAGATTCAAGTCTAGAACTAGGAAAAATATATTGCTGTCCATTCCCAAATAAGTTAAAACCAAGCAACAAAGACAGAGTGAAGAGGGATCTCAGTCTCATTCCTATACATGAGACTTTTCAAAAGTGCAAGTCAATTTTTTCTCTTTCTTTGGTGAGGCCTAATCTCGCTATTCAGGGACATACTCAATTCCATTAGGTCATTCACTTTTCACAGCTACTGGACTGATGAACATTTATTGTACCTAGTCGGCTTGAGGCACGGTGGGCATCGGTTGCATACAGCACACGTTTTGAGCAAGTGTAAGCACTGGCCAGGTGTGGGTTTCCTACACTGCACTCCACAGCACCTCATGGAATGACACATAATGCCTCCAACCCCCACATCTGCCCTTCTTTCAATGAAAAAATATCTGTACCATTATTTTCTTTTTCTCCATTTAAAAGCCTGCGTGTGCTTAATGAAATCCCTGTCAGCTGTATTCCATCGGACAACTACAAACCATTATTCTTTAAAATATCAGTGTACAGAAACAGATGTAGGAAGCTAATGTATATGGAAATAACAAAAGCATAGCTCTGGAAACCCACCCTCCCAAGTGAAAATGCTACAAAAAGCACAAAGGAGAAATGGAAGCATAGCTCTACGAGAGAAAAGAGTCGTTTTCTTCCAAAATTTGCTACAAAGACATCAATGAACATATTAATCACTACTGGAATCTTCTTGCTGGTAATTTTTATAATGGCTCTTAAAGGTTTTGAACTATATTCTCCTCAGTTTAAGGTTTCTGTGACTCAAAGCTATTGTAATATCCACTATAAAATATATCATTATAGAAATACTATAGACCAATCTCAGATAAGTGCCTGGATCAATCTTGGGTTTCATTTTTTAGTTCTATGACAAGGGGCATACATTTGAGCCCTCTGTTCTTCCTATTGTTTAATGTAATACAAGACTCTAGTCAACAGAGACACATACATCACTTTTACATCATTTGCCCTACAGAACTCCACACTTTTAAGAATGAATTAAAGAGGTAAACAAGTGACATGACTTATAAGCAGTTTGCATGATGCGAGGTAAACTGAAATGGGAGAGGAGGAGAAAGAGGCCAAAACAAGCCAACAGCAAAACCCCAATTCTTACATTACAGCACTGAGTCTGTTAATAGTGCTTACTTGCCCCAATTTTATAAAAATGAAATAAAAATCAGAAAAGGGTAAACTGCCTGATTACTTTTTCTTTTATACTCATTAGTTCTTAAAAGTTAAAGTAAGAAAAAAATATATATATATTTAAATGGAAAGTATACCAATTTCACTTTATTAGCCTAATTCAGGAATGGGATGAGGAGAAAGGGGCTAAGGTCAGGTATGAAGGAAGAGGGTTAAAACTTGTGACAGTAAAGATCCCTTCAAAATTCTGGTGCAGTCCTCAATCACTGCAGCCTAATTGTCGGTCAACGGAGTTGGACTCCAAAATACTGAAATCAGACGTTCTCCATTTCTGTCCAGTGACTCTTCAGTTACAGCGTGATGAGGTCTACCAGGTTGCCTTTGGGAGGAGTCATGCTGTCAGGAAAGAAATTTACTAAGGTGTCAAAGAGCTGAGTTCTTTGAGCATAGGTGTGATCCACATCGGAAAAGCCTGGTAAAGGGAGAGATACAAAGAAACTCATCCATTGTGTCTAAAACATGTAACGGAGAAGCTAGTTGAGAAAAGCAGCAATGTAGAATGCAAAAATCAAAACCAAATCTGATTTTAAAACCAGACAAACGTAGGTCCCGAACCCAGGTCTAGTACCTGGCAGTGGTGTGATCTTAGGTGAGTTAATCAGCCTTTCTGCAACTGTCTGGTCAGCTATAAATTTGTATTAATCTTGTATACTCATGGGGATATTGTGCATATTAGATATAATTATGTGAGAAGCACCTGTTCTGATGACTGGCACTTTAGTAACTAATATTGACTCTCTTCTTTTCTTTACATTTACCTCTTCTAGTCCACTGAGGAAATTTCTGCCTCTTTTCCAACTTTATAATACTTCCGACCACTAACATTTTTTTATAATAAAAAAATACAATAAAATCAAAATGAAAAATAAAATCACTTTCTTTAGAAAGTGGTCTAAAATCATTAAGGTCCCAAGAGCTGAATGTAGTCTCAGAGAACTGAGTGAAAACATAACTGAGGGAAAGAAATACATGTATGATAGCAGAGAACAGTACCTGGCCATACATGTTTGATACTATGCACCATGCTCTACGCCAGGCACACGTTGTGTGAAAAACAGAGCAATGAATGACTTTTCTGCAGGTAAACATTAGAAAGTGGATGACAGAGGTGCCTGGGTGGCTCAGTCAGTTGAGCGTCTGACTTTAGCTCAGGTCATGATCTCATGGTTCGTAGGTTTGAGCCCCATGTCGGGGTCTGTGCTACCAGCTCAGAGCCTGGAGCCTGCTCAGGATTCTGTGTCTCCCTTTCTCTCTGCCCCTCCCCTGCTCATGATCTCTCTCTCTCTCTCAAAAATAAACATTAAAAAAAAAAGTGGATGACATTCTTAAAAGGTGGGGGCCAATGGAACTACAGGATTTTTTCCCCTTTAACCTTTAGTAAACATTTAATTTTCAAGTTCATTCCAGTCAAAGGAATATTCAGTGAGATGCTTCCTTCCTTTAGTTAGCTGCTGTATTGCTTTAAGCTGCCTCAAATTTCTTATGTACATACAACGAATGATAAACAAAGTAGTCTTTTGATTTCCCCATTCCTGAAATGGCTGAGACATGAGAGCCCTATAGACTACCACAAGAAACAAATAGTGCCAGAAAGAGTTATATATGCCATAATACTCAGTGAAAATTATTTCAAATTGGACCAATTTTCATTCAACTTAGAATACTGTTTTAGGTGCACTGTTTTCATTCTTGTAAAGAACATGAACAGAACAGAACATTGCCAAGGATATCAGTTTCCTGGAAGGAAAATAAACAATGCCTCAAGAAAAGTACATTCTTTTTTGTTAAAAAAATTTTTTTTACTATTATTTTAAGTTTGAGAGCAAATGTTTACTTCTTTGGAGCTTAAGATTTAACAAAGAAATATCATGGAAAAGAACAGAAGGAAATACTCCAAAATGTAAGCAAAGGTTAGCTTTGAATGATGGTATTACTTTTTCCCCATTTAAATTGCTTTTCTGAATTTCTAAATTGCTTTATTTTCAACTTATTTTGAAAATTTTCAAATTCTTAGACAAGTTTCAATAATGCAACAAATATTCATATACCCTCACCTAGATTACTTAATTGTTAACATTGTCACATGTTCTCATTCTTTCTGTTGTTTGTACCCCACACATACTTTTTTTGTGGAACTATTTGGGAGTAAGTTGTAGACATTTTCACTCATACTTGAGTTCATTTCACCTAAGAACATCACCTGAATAGCCACTATATATTAAATTTGGGAAACTTAACAATAGTCTTTTTTATAGTCATTTTCTCCACTAAACTAAAACTCAATCCACTATCAAGCACTGTATTTAGTTTTTGGGTCTTTTAAAGTTTATTATTTATTTTGAGACAGAGACAGTGCAAGTTGGGGTGGGGTGCAGACAGACAGGGAGACACAGAATCCCAAGCAGTCTCCACACTGCCAGTGTGAAGCCCGATGCAGGGCTCAAACTCAACAAAACCGTGAGATCATGGCCTGAGAGTCAGACGCTTAACCAAATGAGCCATCCAGGTGCCCCTTCAAGTCTCTTTGGCCTGGAATAGTTCCTCAGCCTTTTTTTTTTTTTTTTAATTAAAAAAACCCGTTTATTTATCTTGAGAGAGAAAGAACACAAGTTGGGCAGAAGCAGAGAGAAGGGGAGAGAGAATCCCAAGCAGGCTTCACGCTCAGCATGGAGCCAGCCCAATGTAGGGCTCGATCCCACCTCAAGATCATAACCTGACCTGAGATAAAGAGATGCTTAATAGACTAAACCACCCAGGTGCCCCTCAGCCTCTGTTTTTTTAAATGGCACTGATATTCCTTTTTTTTTTTTAATGTTTATTTTTGAGAGAGAGAGAAACAGAGCACGAGTGGGGTAGGGGAGACACAGAATCTGAAGCAGGCTCCAGGCTCCGAGCTGTCAGCACAGAGCCTGACACGGGGCTCGAACACACAAGCCGTGAGATCATGACTTGAGCCGAAGTTGGACGCTTAACTGAGTCACCCAGGCACCCTGACACTGATATTCTTGAAAAGTACAGAGCAGTTATGTAGCAGAATGTGCTGGATTTGGGTTGTCTGACTGCTTCCTCATGATCAGAATGAAATTTATGCAGTTCTGGCAAGAATACTACATAAGTGATACTGTGTCCTTCTCAGTGCATCATGTCAGGAGGCACATGCTATCAGTGTGTCCCAATGTTCACTTTGACCACTTAAGCTACAGTAGCCAATTTTTTTCCAATGTGAAGGTGTTCTTTTCTACCACTGTAATTAGTAAAATATTGACGAGGATACAATTTGAGACTGTGTGAATATCCTGTTCCCCAAGAGACTTGCACCCAATGATATTAGCATTCACTGATGATTCTTGCTAAAATAAGTATATCTTGCTAAACAACTACAATGTTGTTTTTCTAATTACAATTCCTTCTACATTTGTTGACTGACATTAATTATAAAGTTTTTTTTCCCTTCCATTTTATTTGTTTGCATGAGTATGTTCTCATGGATCCTTTTCTTCTTCAATATATTGTATTTATTACTGTCATTATTCATTTTAATACTCATACTGAACCAGTTTGGGCCAGTGAGAGCTCTTTTGAGCTGGTTTCTATGTCTTTTTTAAATGTTCCCATTAACAGGGCACCTGGGTGGCTCAGTTGGTTGAGTGTCTGACTCCAGCATAGGTCACGATCTCGTAGTTTGTGGGTTCGAGCCCCACGTCCAGTTCTGTGCTGACAGCTTGGAGCCTGGAGCCTGTTTGAGATTCTGTGTCTCCCTCTCTCTCTCTGCTCCTCCCCCACTCACGTTCTGTCTCTGTTTCTCAAAAACAAATAAACATTAAAAAAGAATTTTTTAAAAAAATACTCTGTTCCTTTCTGGCACAACAAGATATCCAAGCTCATCTTTACACAGTTCTGGAATGAGCCATTTTCCCAAGGACGCCTTATTCCTTTTTAGTGGTAACATTTAGAAACCAAGATCAGTTGTGCTAATTGCCAAGGGTGGTGCTGTTTCTAGGCCTATCCATATATGTACACACATATTATATAGCTTTTTTTAAGCCAAAATCATGAGTTCATGATTTCATTGATGATTCTCAGTTTTTAAGAATGTTAAAGGATTCTTCCTCTCCTTATCCCATTCCCTATTTATAGTACCTCCTTTCTTCCACTAAGAAAACTGACATTCTGCAATATCATATTTACTCATTTGCTCAACCTGAAATACACACAAAACACATTCCAGAATTACTATACCCAAACCACTACAGGCAAAACACAAGATTTCTTTGCTTTCACTGTCTTTAAAATATATTTCAGTAGGAGTATGGTCTAAGCATTGTACTAAACATTTTCTCTCTTCCCCCCTGCTATTGGGTGGTAATGTTACCAACTGGATAAACAGGCTTCTGTTTGTAGTCAACTTTCAGGTTTTTCCTTTCTTTATTTTCTATATTTGTAAAAATGTGAGGTTTTATTTTTAGGAGAAAATATTGATTCTGTGGTAATCCTCTAGTGAAGTAATACCTATGTATTACTAATGAAACACCTGTCTTCTTATGAAATAATATCAAATGAAGTAAATACATTTCCATGAGATTAAATGATTTAAGAGGGAGGGAAACACTGAGTTCCTGCTGTGAGCTCGGTAGTTTATGCATGACCCCAATTCGTTCTTATAAAAAAAATAATGAAGCGTTTATCATAAACTCCCCTTTCGTGTGAGACAGGTTAGAGAGATTCAGTAATTTAGTAAGATCTCACAGCTGGTGAGAGAAGAGAATAGAACGTGGACCCATGTCTGTCTGACTCCAAAGCTCATTTATGTATTTTTATTAACAAATATTCACTGAGTGCTTAAACTGTAAGCAGTGTGCTAAGTTTCTTTAACCCTTAAAAGAACATGTTTAATTAATTTTTTGACTTAAATATTTTTATCATTGGAGTATACTGACATACAATGTTATGTTAGTTTCAAATGTACAACTTAGTGATTTTTTTTTTTAATTTGAGAGAGAGAGAGAGAGAGAGAGAGAGAGTATATGTGAGCAGGGGAGAAGAGCAGTGTGGGGGGGAGAGAGAGAGAGAGAAAGAGAGAATGATTCAATGAATGAATGAATGAATGAATCTTAAGTAGGCTTCACAGTCAGCACAGAGACTGACATGGGGCTTGATCCCATGACCCTGGGATCATGACCTAAGCTGAAATTAACAGCCAGACACTCAACCAACTGAGCCACCTAGGTGCCCCACAATGTGGTGATTTTTACTTAACAATTCCATACATTACTCAATACTCCTCACAGTAAGTATAGTTACCATCTGAACAGGTTTTATTTTTATTCACCATTTACCAGTGAGAAGACTGAAATTTACACTATCATTAGATGAATGTTTAAATTATGGTAGATCCTATTATGGAATATCATA